TGTGTACCAGGTCTCAGGGTGCCTGGGATAAGAAGCCAGTCCAGTCTTATGTGTAATAGAAGGCTGTGGGTTAATTTGTTTTGTGTGGTTTCTGAGCACAAGAGGTGAATATGCTTTATACATAGTACTAGGAACAGAGTACAAAAATACAAGGATGAGCAACTTTCTAAGTGTTTTTTTTCCTCCTGATTTAATGGCATCTTATCTATTGAATAAGGACACATTGAAAGAGAAAAATTGTTAATTAAAATATCTCCACTTCTCGGGGCACCTGGGTGGCTCAGTCGGTTAGGCTTCTGACTTCAGCTCAGATCATGATCTTGTGGTCTGTGAGTTCGAGCCCTGCATTGGGCTCTGTGCTGACAGCTCAGATCCTGGAGCCTGATTGGGATTTTGTGCCTCCCTCTTTCTGCCCCTCCCCTTCTTGTTCTCTCTCTCTCTCTCTCTCTCTCTCTCTCTCTCTCTCTCTCAAAACTAAATAAACATTAAACATTTTTTAAGTATCTCTACTTCTCAATGTAAGTTACAAGTTTAATCTCTAAAGGATGGATTGCTTGCCCCTTAAGAATGGCAAAAAATATATGCTATTTTCTCCTATCAATAATTGTCCATTTTGGAATTTAAAACCAATTGGGAGAAGTTCAATTAAAGCACTCAAATTGACAACCATGGTAAATATGTACACTTTTTAAGACTAACACAGGAATCTTCCGCACTGCTCCTTCATGGTCAGGGCTCTGTTGGGCATGATTTTAAATGAAATCCACACATCTTCTCTCCCTGTTTAGTTTAGGTGCAGCTACCAGGAATGCAAGCAGCATTTAAGGTATAAAGTACTCTATCCTTGAGGAGACCACTTATGGTGGAAGAGGCAATCTCACCATATGCCAAGGTTCTCCTTGCAGGTGGAGCAGACAAACCCTGGGTAGGACTAGAATTCAGGGCTCACAAGCTCTCTGCCCTAACCCCATGAGAACCCTTTGTGCCAGAGCCTGGGTTTTGCATCAAAATTCAATTCAGGCCAGGGATCCCTGGTGCCACCAAGAATCCTAAGCTATCTACTAAAGCTCCTGAAATGGTCAGTCCTGCTGCTTTAATCATTCATTTACCAGAGAAATAACAGAATGATACTATTCCTTGGGTGAGCTAACAAAATCCCTGGCAGGTAGGGTGCCTACTATTCATGCACACTAAGAATAGAAGTGAATCCCCTAAACTGATAAAAGACATGAAGCCAATTATTAATGTATTGCCTCCTACTCTAAATTCACCTTTCAACACATGCTCTATGATAATAGATGAATTTTTTAAGTATCTCTCCTTCAAAGTAGTAGGCACAATGTTATACTTTCTCAGTAGAAGACACTGGAGGGACATTGAAAGAGGAAGTGTCTCTCCTGTGATCTCTGGTTCTCAAGAGTGTGGATATGAGGATATCCTTAATGCTCTTCTCCAGGCATGAGCCAAGAACAACTGTCTTCACCAAATGTGCAATCCCAATGTGGCCTGGTGATCAGCTTTCTGTGGCCTTCTTCATAGGTACATCCTGTGATCCAAACCACCTGCCCACTGATTCCCTCTGCTTTCTCTCTCATGCCTGACCCCCTCACCCCTAACAACTACTCTTCTCTAGTTCCCCCAGTGCTGCATCCTCCAAACATCAAGGCCCTTCGGATCCTGTATGTAGGACAGTTTTAGCTCCAGGCCTCCAACCCTACCAGCACCCCATTCCTACAATACCCACATACTGGCCACTAGCTGTGGCTCATCCACACTGATGTGCTCCACAAAGTAGCTTCCTGTTTACCCTGCAACTGTATACCAATTCTGACTTTGTAAACCAGCTCTGGCATCCCACAAAACAGCAAACTTCTCTGCCATCTAGTAGTTTCGGCCACACCTTCTCCAATGAGGTGTGAATTCCAGCTTTGGAGAGGGCCCCCCCCTCTAAATTTGTCTTTCTTTTGGGCATTCTCTCTCATCCCCAGAATGCCATAGGAAATAATATATCCTATATATGATGCATTTTTCATAGTTTAATAATTCTTTATGTTAAACTTTATGTTTTTGTTAAACTTCCCTTATCCTTTGTGCACTTTCTATCCCTGCTTGGATTCATATTGCTACAGAACACATCTACATAAAATATCATTCTTAGAATTGCTAAGACCTTTCTCTTTGAGAGCTGCATCAAGTAAAGATATCCACTATCACTGAGAGAGAGCAGTATGGGATAAAAAAGGAACAAAATGCTTGGAAAGGAAGAAGTATGACCAGCATTATTTGCAGATGTTATGATTCTGTACCTTAAATCCTACAAGTATTTACAGAAAAGTTGTTAGAATCAATAAAAGATTTTAGACATTTATAGTATTAAAAAATCAACATTCAAAAGCCATTTGCATTCTATTTACCAGCAACAAATTTAGAAAATGAAAATATCAAAGACAGTATTTGCAAAATATGAAGTACCTAGGGTAAAATGTCTTCTTCTAGAAAAAGAATAGAAATAGTTTTAAAGAAGTTTTTTTTAATTAAAAGGAAAGATAGACCATATCCATGAATCAAGCATTCAATGTTAAAAATAAGTCAAATCTGAAAGTTCAACACAATCTGGGGCACCTGGGTGGCTCAGTTGGTTAAGCATCTGACCCTTGATTTTAGCTCAGGTAGTGATTCTCCAGGTCATGGGATTGAGCCCCTCATCAGGCTCCATGCTGAGTATGAAGCCTGCTTGGGATTCTCTCTCCCTCTCTCTGCCCCTCCCCCGCTTTCTCTCTCTCTCTCTCTCTCTCTCTCTCTCTCTCTCTCTCTCTCTCAAAATAAATAAATAAACATTGAAAAAAATAAAGAAGGGGTGCCTGGGTAGCTCAGTTGGTTGAGAGTCTGACTCCAGCTCAGGTCATAATTTCATGTTTTGTGAGTTTGAGCCCCAAGTCTGAGCTGACAGCTTGGAGCCTGGAGCCTGCTTCAGATTCTCTCTCTCTCTCTCTCTCTCTCTCTCTCTCTGTCTCTCTCTGCTCCTCCCTTGCTTGTGCTCTCTCTCTCTCTTTCTCAAAAATAAATAAACATTTAAAATAAATAAATAAATATTCAACATAATCTTAATTTGGACCCCCAAAGAGTTTTGGTATACATTTTTTCAGATGAGTTGATCACTTACACAGAATAAAAACAGCCAAATATAACCAAGACACTTTTGAAGAACAAGGAAGAATTGGCTGGCCTTATCCAAATATCAAGATTGGCTTTAGATTTGTAGTAATTAATACTGATATGTGGTATTTCAAATAGACAGATTAATAGGGCCACAGTACTTACTAGAGGGCATAGAAACCAGCCCATACATAGGTAGATACTTGACACATGAGTCACTGCAATTCAGTTGGAAAGGAGCTGACTTTTCAGTAAGTGCTTACTTAGACAAATGGATATCCAAATTAAAACAAAAACAAAAACAAAAACAAAAAGCAGAACCTTACTCAACACCATACACAAACATCACTTGCAGGTAGACTAAGACATACTCTGAAAGGCAAAACCATAAATATTTTAGAAGACAGTATAGAAAAATATTTTCACATCCCCAGTGCAGGGATAGATTTCTTAAAACAGAAAAATCACAAACCTTAAGGAAAAGAATAATAAATTTTGACTGTATTATAACTAAGATCTTCTCACAAAGCAAAACATATACAAGTGAAAATAAAAGCAACAGAGGAAGGGAATTTTTTGGCCACACACATAACCACCAATGGACTGATATTAAAAATACATAAAGAACTCATTAAATCAGTAAGTACAAGACTGAAAATAGAATAGAAAAATTCTGGAAATCCAAGATGTAAGTGAACAAGTGTAGCAGCAGGAACTGTCTATGCTACTGGTGAGATTGTACATTGGCACAACTACTACATAAAACAATTTGGCATCACCTAGAAAAGCTGAGAATATTCACATCCTATATCCCAGTGATTCTATTTTTTGAGGTATATCCAAGAAATTTTACATATGTGTCCCATGAGACATGTCCAAGAATATTCACTGCAGCATTTTTCATAATAGGAGTCCAGGAATTTTCTCTCACTAAATTAATAAATCCAACTGATGAGGGAGCATGGGGCAAGCTGAAGGCAAAGTGCAGGCTAATAGCAGCCCCCAGCCAGGTGGAATATGTGTGATATTCCTTGGATACTCCTGGCTACCCAAGAACAAAGGAAAGTGGTTTAAGTGATTGCCATGGTGATGTGGGAAACTAAGGCAAATGAAACATTAAATTCCTTTACTGCCTATAGCCCATTGACCAGTCCTTGAAACCCTCAGAGTGATGTCCCTCTAGGAGCGCAGTTACCTTGATGATTACACTTTGCTAAGGGCAAAAGAGAATCTTGACTTAACATTATCCTGACCACCTCCCGGCCGAGGAATCTGTAAGTCTACTTTAACATATAAAAATTCCTTTGGAAACTTCCTTTGTATCAACTGCCCCAAGATATAGGCTGGCAATCATACTACAAGATTATGTCCCCATGATTTATATCTGAGGTTTTACTAAACACTAATAAATAGCTTTTTCCTCAAGGTCCTGGAAACCTTGCTTCCAGGAGTCCTTAGAGACTTACTCTAACTCTAATCCTCTCCCAGCCTGAGGATATATTATCAGTTACCTTTCACCACCCTAGTGCAGCTCTTCCTGCCCATGAGTCCTATCCCTGTGCTTTAATAAAGTCACCTTTTTGCACCAAAGACATCTTCAAGAATTCTTTATTGGCCATCGGTCCGGAGCACCCCACCTTCACCAGAAAACTTCATCACAACCAGCCAGCCACCCAATAAACAAATTTTAACACATGAAAAGTACTTAGTACCATGCTTAGCACTGGGAGGGGCTGGGAGTGTTTATTTTGGTATATACAGTGATGTACGAATTTAAGTTGCATTTAGTAGATAGATTCCTAGGTATTCCAGCACCATTTACCGAATGAACTATCATTTCCTCATTATCCGGCAAGACCCTGATTTCCTACAAATATTGAATGTAGAACTTATTTATGTACACCAGGCTCTGCCTCTGGACTTTCTGTTCTGTTCCAGAGACCCAGTACCAGAATATTTAAATCACTGTGTCGTTAAACACGTTTTAATATCTGATAGGGCCAGTTTCTGCGCACTGCACATTTTTTTTTTTTCCTTTCAGGAACATGTTCAGGCCCGCGGCAGGGGGCGGGGTCGCTCCTCCTCCTCTGCTCTGGTTCCCGCGGAGCCTCCCGGACGCTGAGATGGAAAGCCCAAGGCTGCTCCCGGCTACCGGGACGCGACAGAGCGACGGTGCTGGCATCCCCGCGGGCGGCAGCCGGGTCCACGGAGGCCCTGACCCGCGGGCTGGCCAGGTCCCCGCGCGCCGACTCCTGCTGCTCCGGGGCCTCCAAGATGGCGGGCCCGAGAGGGAGTGCGAGGAGGCCCGCGCGGCCTCACGGGGCCCAGGCCCCAGCCCGTTGGCGACCAGGCCAGATTACGCTGGCGGCGGTGGCGGCAGCGGCGACGGCGGTGGCAGCGACTTTTTCCTGGTGCTGCTGGACCCAGTGGGTGGTGATGTGGAGACCTCGGAAGCCCGCCAGGCCTCAGGGCCTGTAGGAAGGGAGGAGGCCCAGTCTGGCCCACAGCTCCACAAGGGTGAGAGTGGCGCGAATCCCGCGGGCTTCATGGCGCTGGGTCCCTGTAGTCTGTCCGCGGTTCCAACACCAGTCTCGGCCCCTGCCCCAGGCCCGGGACCCGCCGCCACCTTCGCGGGCACCGTCACTATCCACAACCAAAACCTGCTTTTGCGCTTAGAGAATGGTGTCCTCACCCTTGCCACGCCCCCGCCGCCAGCCTGGGAGCCTGGGGTAGCGCCTGCCCCTCAGCCCGGGGGTCTGATGGCTCACCAAGCAGGGATCCCACACGCAGCGCAGCCCAGCGACTGCCCCGAGCTGCCGCCCGACCTCCTGCTGGCCGAACCGGCTGAACCGGCGCCTGCCCCGGCGCCTGAGGAGGAGGCAGAGAGCCAGCTCGCAGCCGAGAGCCCCCGCAGGCCGCTGGGCCCGGGCCCGGGGGTGGTGCTGTACCTGTGTCCCGAGGCCCAGTGCGGACAAACCTTTGCCAAGAAGCACCAGCTGAAGGTGCACCTGCTGACTCACAGCAGCAGCCAGGGCCAGCGGCCCTTCAAGTGCCCCCTGGGCGGCTGCGGCTGGACTTTCACCACCTCCTACAAGCTCAAGAGGCACCTGCAGTCTCACGACAAACTTCGGCCCTTTGGCTGCCCTGCGGAGGGCTGTGGCAAGAGCTTCACCACAGTGTATAACCTTAAGGCACACATGAAGGGCCATGAGCAGGAGAACTCATTCAAGTGCGAGGTGTGCGAGGAGAGCTTCCCTACACAGGCCAAACTCAGCGCCCACCAACGCAGCCATTTCGAGCCCGAGAGGCCCTATCAGTGCGCGTTTTCCGGCTGCAAGAAGACGTTTATCACAGTGAGTGCCCTGTTTTCCCACAACCGTGCCCACTTCAGGGAACAGGAACTCTTCTCCTGCTCTTTTCCTGGATGCAGCAAACAGTACGACAAGGCTTGTCGCCTGAAAATTCACCTGCGGAGCCACACAGGTGAGAGACCTTTCCTTTGTGACTTTGACGGCTGTGGCTGGAACTTCACCAGCATGTCCAAACTCTTAAGGCACAAAAGGAAGCACGATGATGACCGGAGGTTCATGTGTCCTGTGGAAGGCTGTGGGAAATCTTTCACGAGGGCCGAGCACCTGAAAGGCCACAGCATAACCCACCTGGGCACAAAGCCTTTTGTGTGCCCTGTGGAAGGCTGCTGTGCCAGGTTCTCTGCTCGCAGTAGTCTCTACATTCACTCCAAGAAACACTTGCAGGATGTGGACACTTGGAAAAGCCGTTGCCCAGTCTCTACTTGTAATAAACTTTTCACATCCAAGCACAGCATGAAGACCCACATGGCCAAAAGGCACAACCTCAGCCAGGATCTCTTAGCTCAGCTGGAAGCTGCAAATTCTCTTACACCCAGCAGTGAACTTACCAGCCAGGGACAGAGTGATCTCAATGATGCAGAGCTAGTGTCTCTCTTCTCTGATGTGCCTGGCAGTAGTTCTGCTGCAGTGTTGGACACAGCACTGGTGAACTCTGGAATCTTGACTATTGATGTGGCTTCTGTGAGTTCAACTCTGGCAGGGAACCTCCCTGCTAATAATAATAATTCCTTAGGGCAGGCTGTGGACCCTCGGACCTTGATGGCCACCAGTGACCTTCCCCAAAGTCTGGATACCTCTCTCTTTTTTGGAACAACAGCCTCTGGTTTTCAGCAGGGTCCCTTAGATACGGATGATGCCTCAAGTCTAAGTGTGGGGCCATTGGCATCTCTGGGCCCTTTGGCTATGAAAAACTCGAGTCAAGAACCCCAAGCTTTGACGCCCAGCAGCAAGCTAACAGTGGACACAGATGCTCTGACTCCTTCCAGCACCCTTTGTGAAAACAGTGTCTCAGAACTACTGATGCCAACCAAAGCAGAATGGAATGTACATCCTGACTCTGACTTCTTTGGACAGGAGGAAGAAACCCAGTTTGGATTTTCCAATCCAGCAGGAAACCATGGTTCTCAGAAAGAAACAGATCTTATCACAGTGACTGGCAGCTCATTTTTGGTATGAACTATTAATTCCTTGCCACATGGCTTACTTTTATTAATTACACTCAATTTTAAGGATATTCTGGACTAAATGTTTAAATGAAGCCCTTTCTAACAGGTTTGGAAAGGAACAAATCCCGAGGCTATAAGTTGGGAAATTTAAATTCTGATCTTGACTCTGGAACTGACAAGTTGTGTGACCCTGAGCAAGTCACGTAACCAATCTGAGCCTTAACTTGCTTATTTATAAAATGAGGTGGTTTGAATAGATTATTTCTAAGATTTTTCAACTGTGTATTTTCATGATTTTGTGCTCTTTCTATTGCATGTGCTTCTAATGTAATGAAAATGCATTGAGAGTTAATGATCAAAGAATGTGAACTGGCATTTAACTTTAAAATTTCAATGGAAATTTTACAGAATGTCAGAATATTTCTAAAATCTAGTGATAGAGCTTAAAAAAAGAAACCTAAAAATATGGGTTGGTTCTTTTTACCTCCTCACCCTTCTAGTTTCTTTCTTTTTCTCTCTTTTTCTTTCTTTTTCTTTCTTTCTTTCTCTCTCTTTTTTTTATGGAAGGTTATGTTGTGGCAGAGCTTTGATAAGACTCAGACCCAGAAATTTTGACTTTGTGGTGTTGAGTAAGTGGCCTTAAGTAAGTCATTTAGCATCACTAAACCTCAGTTCCCTGCTGTAAAATGGTCATTGTAATGTATACCTACCTGATAATGCATTTTAGACTTATTTTTCTATCCCAGGAGTTAGTTTTGGTTGGGAAATGTTCTGTGTTTTGGCATGCTTTGGTGAATCTTTATCACTTTTCCTGCCCCTCTAGTTCCTTCCTAAAAGAGAAATTAGCATAATTCAATGACATGTGTGCAGGCAGTAAAGGTTTATGAACAATAAGAAGCAGGAAATGGAATATCTTTCTTCCACAGATTCAGAAGATTTTTCTCTATACAATTCTTATGTAATGTTGCCTCCAGGTCCGTTTGTCTGAATTACAGTATCTTTGCTCTGCATTCAAAGCCAGCCCATGGAGTGAATATATAGAGCCTGTGATTCCAAGAAAATCTGGGAACAGATCAGAGTGACATTTTCTCCCTTGTGTCCCATAGAGCAGTTTGCTTGCCTTCTTCCTGAGTTGGAATGAGAGGTTCATTTGCATTTTGAGTAAATATAATCAGTCTTACATGAGTATAGCATTTTAAAGTTTATGCAGCACTTTCACAACTTATATTTGAACCTCACAATATTGTGAGATAGTTGGGACAAAGTTTTAACTATAATTCATATTAAAATTTACCTAACTCACGTTAAAAGTGAATCATATATATATCTATATATCTATATATATCTATCTATATCTATCTATATATATATATATATACATATATATATATATATCAACTCCCATGTTTTTCTCTGAGTTTCATTTGTTTATAACTACTTTTTCTGTTCTACCTTAATTGATGTCTGTTCCTTTCTGCCAGCTCTACTCTCTCTCCAACCTCTTCTCTAACAAGTGCATGTAGTTCCTTGTCATGATCTCTTCTTTTAAAATTTTAATTAGATGGGTCATTTTCATGGTCACCATATCTCAGCCATTCCCCTCATGGCCCACTTTTCAGTCACAATATTTACTGCAGGTCTGAATGTCTACTAAGAAATTATAGTGTGTTTCTATATAAATCAAATGATAAGATATTTTTATGTAAGGTTTTTGTGAGACATGTTCTTTTACTTTACTTTACTTTTTTCACCATGTTGTTCTGCTAGCAAACACTATTAGTTGCCCTGAAACATTCTAACCCAGTACTACTTGCATGTAGATGTTTGTGGATGACAAGTATAGCACTTTGGCAGTGCACTTTATAATTTGCCACTTTGAAATGCAACTGTATTATCTTTCTGGTTTTTAAATTGGTTGTGCCCATTCAGTGAAAAAGCAAAAAGTATATACATAAATTTGTAATTCAAAGAAGTGGTCAGAGTATGATTGTTTCTAACCATTTAACAGTTCTCCCTCAGCACTTTGGAAGGATTTTAAGCCCATTTTGGCAATGCATTGTCACTAGTTAAGTCCTCTTAAACAGATTTTTCTTCTTTTCCTACAGATAGGAATGTAGAGGCCTGATGTAAACATGCAAGGTGTAGGCATCTGTTAAGATATGTAAACAAAAGATGTTTTAAAATTATTTCACTTCGTTTCTTTAATCCCTCAATACTCTGTCCCTTTATTAAAAACTATTCTGTGGAATTTTTAAAGGACAAATTTTACGTTTCTTGAAGATAAATAATCTTATAATTGTTTGTAGGGTCACACAGTTTCCTTCAATCTATTTGTTCAAAAGATTACTCTTTCAATATCATTTTCCCAGCATCATGGTGAAAACGGCATGACATTACAGTTAGAAGTACGACTACCAACACAATGGCTATTTCTGTTAGTGTTGGCATAAAGATGCCATTTAAAAAAAATAATGGGACATAATTCAATGTTCTCTCATTTGTTTTACTTGACTCTTCAGTACTTGGTTTATGAAAATTTTGCCAATTGAAAAAACAGTAACAAAATGCTTTTCAGAAAGGTTTACATTTAGGGGACTCTCCAATTGAAAAAATAGTAACAATGCTTTTCAGAAAAGTTTACATCTAGGGGACTCTGTTGAACGTGTTCATCATGAGTTAAAATATGTTAATCTTGACATTTTTACTATTATTTCATTATGGTATTACATAATTGAAAGTCTTTAGTAGAAGTGAAACTCCACAGAATATGAGGATCACTTTTCTTTTTGGATTAAGTCTTCATATTCCCATCCAGGAAAAGTTAAGAGAAGAATTTGGTATAATGGTATTTATGACTATTCCTTGATTCCAGATAAAACATTGATTAACTCCCTTTTTGGGAATACTCATAATCCCTTTGTAATTATTGATACCAAACAGATCCACTTGATGCTCACTCAAAATAAGTGATAATTAAAATATAAGGCTGAGCTGAAATTTGTGTGTATATATAGCTTTTGAACAAAGGATTTTCTTAGCAATTTAAAAAAAAATGTGTGGGGGACTTATAGAACAGATTAAGCTCTATGTCAGAGCACAACTACATCTAAAAAGCAAAGCGCATGCTACAAATGAATTTTTATATTTGTCAAATCTCTATTGACAGGGCCTTTGGTAACAATTTTTAAACTGGGGATCTCATTGTATATTTCAAGTTAACTTACAGACTACATACAACATACAAGGTGTAGAGTACTAGGAATATTGATAAGAGGAGTAAAATGTAAGCCACATCTTAATTTTGGAGAGGGCGTGAGAACTCACATAATAAACATGTCACAACAATACCAGGAAGCATCCTTTCAGAAACCAAATTAATGGCTTGGAGGAAAAGAAGGGGCAGTAGCTATGCTTTAGTGGATGGTTAGATTTAGTTATGTTGAGAAGAGAGCAGATGAATTCTAGCCAGGGAGAAAAACCCAGGAAAGAATGTGAAATGAAATAGGCTACACAACACTGGGAAAGACCATCTAGTTGACATGCAGGGCTCATGTTTGGTAAGTTCTGGGTAGTAGGGTTAGACTACCAGTATGGAGCCTAACTCTAAGAGCTGTGAAATCAGTCATAGCAGATAGGACTTTATTCTGGACATGGTTTAGAGCCAGTGAAGATATTTAAGAAGGGAAGTCAAATGATAAACATATAGAAAGTTTAATATAGTAGAAATATGCAATGTGGATTTGATGAGGGGATATAAGATCATGTAAGAGTTTATTGTAAAATAATTTCAGGGTGCTGTGATAAGGACTTGGAAGTGGAATCATGGCAGGAAGTGAGAGATATTGGAGATATTTCCAAGTTGAGGTAACAGATATAACTTGGTGACTCACTGAATAAATGAGACATCAATCAGAAAAAGAAAGCAAGAGCAGAAATGACTCTAAGGATTTCTTGGAGGCTCTAAAAATTACATTTTATTAGTCATGAACGAGAAGGGTTGAAATCTTTCAGGAGTACATATGAAAAGACGATTAGGGCATGTTTAATTCATGAAGAAGTGATAGATCATAGTTACTACACTGTAAACTGTACATATTGTGGATTATGCACAGTATTAGGCAGTGGGGGCCATTTCATTTTCCCTGGCTCCTTCAAATATTCTCAGATTCACATTTAATGTTTATATTTTTGTTTGCCTTTGAGTATTTACAGGCCTCTTCAACTTTGCATCAAAAAGAGCCTCTTCAACTCTGCATCAAAATGAGCATACTGTCTTCACTACTTTGGATATTTAACAAATATTTTATGTGGTATTTAGTAATATAATAAATAATTTCTCCATAATTTAGGAGATGCTGTTTAGTCATCGATTTTGATAACTCCTCAATGGAAACCTTGTTAGATTAAGTTTTACCTGTATTGTTCTCAGATTGCAAGAGACAGGGCTAGGGTTATCTAAAACTAACTTCCATGTGATCTTTGGGGCTCCTTACTCAATTCCCTGTGCCATTGACTGATATGGTGTGAGAACTCAGTCACAAGAATCATATTCTCTGTTATCCATATACCCTAACATAGGTTGTCCTTTTTATTGTTACCCTTACCACTAATGGTGATAACTCAGAAGGAATGGAGTCCAAGTAAAAAGTGAGAGTAAATAAATAGCACAAATAACTACTCAGTGATTACATTTTTTGATGGTGAATTTTCTATCATACATTTTCAACAGAACACTTCATTTCATTCTAGTTTTCTTTTTTTTTATTTATATATGAAATTTATTGTCAAATTGGTTTCCATA